GGGTGAGAAGAAAGATTGGGAAGATAATGAGTTAGTGGAACGTGAAGCGGAGCGCGAGGGGTTGGGTGAACATGGCGAACCGGCCTATATAACCGAGGAGCACCAGAAGGAGCTAGAAAAGAACATGTCGTTGGAGAATGGTTTCAATGCTCTGCTATCGGATTTAATATCGGTGAATCGTTCGGTGCCGGACGCTAGGGATCCAGGGTAAGTGTGGGGCGGAAAGATAAATGCAAAGTGCTGTAGGAGGACATTTGGAACAAACGTCCGCAGCTGCAAATTTGTTCGCCTTCATATTCTTTTGTTTACCTAATCGAGTCCTTAGCCTTACTGTAATTGGCTGAACATCTACAGGTTTTAGGGAGACCAACCTTGAGTTGAAGGATCTTATCTTCTTGGTACAAAACTAGTCAATACTCTAATTACTGAACAAATACATTGTTCGATTCTTTCCTACAAGCGAGTCTCATCTCCATTGCTGTTCAATAATGACAAGGGTCCTTTTAGATACATATATTGATTCGGGCATAACTAGCGATGGGATTTAAGGCAGGGTACGGAAAGCTGAGTCCAAACTGAGCTGAAGGCTGGAGCAGCTAGCTAAACCAGGTGAACTTACATGGAGACTTTCATGGCATAGGGTGGAAATTACACGTTGCTTTCTGAGGTTCTTAAAACCAATATTAAAAGGCATTATTAGGAGCTTTGCATGGTACAGAGATAGAAATCATTTAGCACTTCCTTTTCAGACGGTTTTTACCCTGAAGGTGCGGCTGAAGCTTTGTTAGGCGGACCAATAATTTGATTTAACGCTCTTTAAATAAATTTGAACAGTTTAGGTAACAGTAAAGTAGTTTATTTCCGGAATCCTGGCACTCACTTGATTTTCAATGACAAGCGGCTTAAGACTTCTTTAACTATGCTAAGCCTATTGTCTGTACACTTTCTTTGAGAAAACTTTATCTTCATATAATAGTAATAGAACGCAGCTCGTTCAAAAGATGTGAACAGGCAATAACTTAGCCAGAGTTGTTAAAGCGGCAGAAGATTTTGTATAATCTTTTTTCTTTGCATGTAGGCACGTATTAATTAAATTTCTCTCGCAAACAGTTGTCGACACATCAAGTACCTCGCCAAACTACCGTCCACCAGCGTTGTCATTCCTTTCTACAATGAACACATCAGCGTTTTGCAGCGCACTCTACACAGCATTGTGAACCGCACGCCACGCGAATTGCTGCACGAAATTGTAATCGTCGACGACAGCAGCGATCGTGAGTATCTGAAAACTCAACTTGAGGAATATGTATCGGAGCACTTCGGTGGCCTCGTCACCATCATACGTTTACCCGAACGATCTGGTCTGATAGCGGCACGCTTGGCGGGCGCACATGCAGCTACCGGTGACGTGTTGGTCTTCTTTGACTCGCACATCGAGTGCAATTATAATTGGTTGCCACCATTACTCGAGCCGATCGCTGTCAATTACAAAATATCGACTTGCCCGATTGTGGACGTAATCAAGCATGAGCATTTTGGCTACACGGGGCTACACCAAACGGGAGCGCGTGGTGCGTTCGATTGGAAGCTAAGTTACAAGCAGCTGCCTTTGCTGCCGGGGCAAAATCAGAATAACACAGAGCCTGTTTCTAGCCCCATTATGATGGGTGGCCTCTTCGCGATTAGCAGACAATTTTTCTGGGAGTTAGGTGGCTACGATGAAGGACTAGATATTTGGGGCGCAGAACAGTACGAGCTGAGTTTTAAGATTTGGATGTGCGGTGGCATGCTGTTCGACGTGCCATGTTCACGCGTGGCGCACATCTTTCGGGGGCCGATGAGCCAGCGCCCAAGTCCTCGAAAGCACAACTTCTATCTGAAGGTAGGTCGCGCTTTGAAGCGCTTACAGGTGTTTAACAATACATACGAGTGAAAGCTTTCGATTTACAGAACAACAAACGCGTAGCAGAGGTGTGGATGGATGAATACAAGCAGTACGTGTATGAGCGCAATCCACAGGAGTACGAAGGTGTGGATGCCGGAGATTTGACAGCGCAGCGTGCTGTACGTGAGCGCCTCAACTGCAAGTCCTTCAAGTGGTTTTTGGAGGAGGTCGCACCTGATCTTCTAGAGAATTTCCCACCCATCCAACCGCCTTCCTATGCTGCCGGTACGATCCAAAGCCGAGCTTATCCGCACTTCTGCTTGGACACCATGGGCAAAGGCAGCGAGCATCCTGTAGGTCTTTACTACTGCGCCGAAAATAAAACACATCCGCATAGCAATCAGTACTGGCAACTGAGTTATGCGCGTGACCTACAGCACCAAGATGGCGATATCTGCTTGGACGTGCAGTCCGTACAGGAGAATGCCACCGTGTGGATGTGGACATGCCATCAGCAAGGTGGCAATCAGTTCTGGTACTATGACCGCGAACGTCAATGGTTGGTACACGGACGTAACGGGCATGCCTGCCTGGAAGCTGTCGTTGAAGGGGACACGCATGCGGTCTATGCGAACATGTGTGACAATTCGAATACGCGCATGAAGTGGAGCTTTGGTGTGGTCAACAACACTGCATTGGATGCCTTCTATGAGGGATTGTCCGATGAGTGAAATCAGCTATAGCTTTAAGAATTGCCAGCGCGTCAG